CCGAGGTTCGATCCCCGGCCGACGCACTCCTATACCTCGCTAACCCCGGTAATAAGGCCGGTAAAGAGGGAAGGTTAAGCGTGAGGCTAACAACCACACACCGTAAAAACTAAACACTCCTGCTAATGACACGTCAAAGCTCTAGCTTGAAGCCTTATGTTCCGCTTGGAACGTAAAGGAATAAAGTAATAAGAAGAAGTAGTTTGCTACATTGAAAACTGTATATCAGAGATTGTTATGTGGTGAGAGCTAGCTGCAAGCCAAAAATTGTAGATAGCAATTTATGCCAATGTTACGTCCTGAATCGGGGTCATGAGAAAAAACAATAACAAAGCTTAACCAACCAATCACAGCAGACTTAACGTGTGCAAATAGGATTCGCAGATATATGGCTTAACTTTCTAAGAAACGGTAACAAGCAGCACAGAATAACCTTCAGCGAGAAAACAACCAATCAGAAGACGTTGCTTCTTCACTGACAATAATGTACATAATAATCTATAAATATCTATTGATTTTCTCAATAAACAATTTGTTGTCTGACCTTGTCTTCTGTCGTTACAGTTACAGCGTCTAAGTTTATTAAGCACGTCAGTAGTTCCATGGTAGAATGCTCACCAGCCAAGCGGGTGCTCCGGATTCGATTTCTGGCCGACTCAATCCCAAACTTTGCCTAGTTTAGTAGCCGGTAGTAAGCCAGGGAAAAAGTGAAGGTTGGGCATGAAGCTAGTGTACCCCACTACGTTAAAACAATACCGATACTGAAACTCTAAAGTTTGATCTTTGAAGCCTTATTTTCAACTCGGAGTACAAAGAATGAATGGAGAATACATATTAGAAATAATCTTTTGGTTTTTTTTATGTGAATTGATTGGGATCAATTACTTCGCATCAAAATTAGCATCATTTTGTCGACTTCTTTTATCAAAAAGATCAAATGCAATATGTGTTTCAGTTAAAGGTTGTTTTTTAAAAATATAATACTAATCAGTGGATCAAACATTGATTTGAGCTTATGCTAATATGAGGTTATTCACTCGCGTCAGTGGTGCAGCGGTAGAATGCTCACCAACTGCGCATGTCGCCCAGGGTTCCATCCCCGGCAGACGCACTTCTCGCACCTCGCAAAGCCAGTATAAGACTGGTAAAGAGGGAAGGTTGGATATGAAGCTAGCAACCCCATCCCGTAAAAATAAACACCACTGCTACGGGAACTTCAAAGCGCTAGCTTGAAGTCCTATGTTCCACTGGGAACGTAAAGGAATAAAAAAAGGTTATCCGCTCATAAATAGATACAGCATGTTATGAGTCCCGGATGTACTAACTTAAATGTTTTATTTGTTGAAGTCAATAAATCAATCACATGTCCACTTGGAATACAAAAACACTACACAAAAGATATTCAACCTCATAGCATAGTGATTACATAACTTCTTTAGGTCAATATATAAAAATATACATATATGACAGTTTCTGAATTCGACGCTGTATATGGATATTTCATTTAGGGAGCTTATAAACTATCATGGAAATAAAATAGCTGAGTTTTCAGTTGCCAGTTTGTCAATCCTAAAGAGTGAATACGTTTCATATTATATCTACTACCAAGGTGTATAGCTGCGCATATAGTATTGCTAATATATAAATCGGCTTAGTTGTGTACGTATGAGACAGAGATAGTATATATATATATATATATATATATATATAATATATATATATATAGTTCTGTTTGTAAGTAATAAAATCTTCTGCAACACTTTGACATTCTTATTGTCAATTTATTTATAATTAGGAATAAATTCACTTATAGTTGGGTGTAATTGTTTGTCGTCTGAGTGTCTTTCAGTTATACATATATACCTTATCTTTAAAAAAAATAATAAACTGTCAAAATAATTAAAGTGTCTATTATACATGTGGTAAAATTAACGGTTATTGTGTAGACAAACTTGTATATTGAAAAAACAAAACAAACACAAACATAACTATAGTTGAATACTTTTGAGCTAACAGTTGTCTACATTCTGATTAGATTAGTCAGTTAACGTTTTGTAAAATTAAATAAACCTTATTTTATGTATATACACATACATGCACACACACACGGTTGAAGTAGGCAGTTGTTTCGTCTACTTTCATGATTTGATATGACAACTATGTCTACTGAAAACCTGGGTTTTTTTCTTTGCTTTCAAAGTTTGTTTCAGTCCTGTATAGTTTACAGTATGTTTTTTTTTTATTCCTTTACATTCCCAGTGGAACATAGAGCTTCAAGCTAGAGCTTTGAAGTTTCGGTAGCAGTGGTGTTTATTTTCACGGGATGGGGTTGCTAGCCTCATGCCCAACTTTCCCTCTTTACCAGTCTTATTACTGGCTTAACGAGGTGAAGGAGTGCGCATCGGCCGGGGATCGAACCCTAAACCACATGAGGCGTGGTTGGCGGGCATTCTACTGCTGTGCCACCGACGCTCTAGTTTATAGTATATTATACACATATATGCGATGTTTGTTTTACTCTTGAAGTAAATAAACCAAGCTTTGCCGAAGTTAATTTGTCAAAAGAGAGACTGGGAATTTCGGTCCGATATTAACGAATTAACGGGAAATACAAACTGATTTAATAAACAAATCACTATCGATACACCTGTTGCACAAGAGGTGGTTTTCGTGGCCTAAGTGGGTAACACTTTTTGCATTTGAAACGATGGGTGATATGGTTCGAGTTCCAGTGAGAATGCCAACAGTCATTGCTGAGGCGATGCAGGCATATTCAGCAGATGAGTCTCAAATAGGATGAAATGTAGATCCTTGATTTCACTGCTAGCCGTCATCAATCAAACAACAGGAAGTTCTGTCTACTTCTTATTTTCATCCAGCAAGATTTTAGTGTCATAAAGTTGATTGATGTATGGCGACAGCAAAGAATAGACACCAACTTCAGACGACCTTGAAACAGCCAATCAGATTCTTCTAGGTGAAAAGTGGTACTTAATTTACAAAGAAGTGTATCTACGATATATATGTAATAAAAATGAATCATATAGGGTATATATTTCTAATATGCTGCAAAATCTGGTCCCAGATTCTTATAGAAGTGGTTATAGACATATCAAACCAATGTATTCTCTATTTCTCCAGCTGTAGCAGATATTGGTTGCATATACGCAATATATTACTGAGGGAGAGCTTTGATTTTGAGAAAAAAGTGTCTAAAAATCACTAGTTATGTACGACTTACCAACTTATACAGACTTTCTCACATAAAGTGGTTGCATCTGAGTGTATAACCACCACTATATCCCGTCAATACTTTTACAGAGTCATTATCCCTCCACATATGCATGTTTTATTCCACCCTATCAACACATTTTCCACAGAGAAGTCAAAAACTAAATCTAAGAGACATTTTCAACGAGGATTACGACTAGCAACCATTTGTAATGCTGAGCTATTTGATTGGTCAAATCAAGGTCATTTGACTTTGGTGTCTATTGTTAACTCTTGCCTGATGTATATTAGCCAGAAAATTTGTAAAAACTAAGAAGAGCTGTAGATGCTTGTTTCATCCTTAATAGTCCACACTCATTATCTCTTTTGACTGTCGAGTCGAGGAAGATCAATTTGTGCTTGTGCACACATGAATTCTTGAATGCAATTCACTGATTTCTCACAGCGGAATAAATAATTCATTTTCACATATCTGTGTATGATTTGACTAATTATTTTTGTAACTGACGATAAATCTGTAATTTGTTGTATCGTTAACACATTGGTGGGTTTCAACAGTCTGTTTCATTTGATATAACCATCGGATAATGTTGGAATTATCAAGTATTGGTTTTGTAGGGATTTTGTTTGATTGCATGGAGGATTTCAGTTAGAGAACCATTGGAAAACCTGGGAGTACTGGACAGCTGTTTCGTCCTAGTTTGGGACTCTTCATCAGTACGCACCCACCACAGGGAGTTGGAACCCAGGACCTTCTGGTTACAAGGCGAGCTCGTAAACCATTGAGCCACTGGGACCGATCCAATGGTCCTTGAATTCTAACTTCTGCCAATTCACGACATAGCGCGACCATTTCGCAATGTCTTCTTCGATGAGTTACTGCCTCATCTTCAACAAAACCAATACTTGAAAATTAATCTGATGCTCACTAGTGACTGGCCCTATTCAGGCAGTTAACCTGGGGTTCTAGTGGGAAGCCGTGACCAGTAGGGTACAGCAGGTTGAAGATGAGGCAGTAACTCATCGAAGAAGACATTGCGAAATGGTCGCGCTATGTCGTGAATTGGCAGAAGTTAGAATTCAAGGACCATTGGATCGGGTCCCAGTGGCTCAATGGTCTACGAGCTAGCTCGCCTTGTAACCAGAAGGTCCTGGGTTTGAATCCCGGTGGGTGAGTCCCAAACTAGGACGAAACAGCTGTCCAGTACTCCCAGGTTTTCCAGTGGTTCTCTAACTGATGTCAGCTCATGATGAAATCCTCCAATGTTGGAATTAGTTTCAAACCATATATCAACCACTACTGCTCCTTGAATACTACGTGATTATTTGGTACGTTTCTCTCTGTTAGCTAAATAAGTCCAGATGCACCACTGATGAGCTCTGGCAGGAACAAGTGAAACAGTCATCAAATGTTTAGATCATATTGAACTTGGCAGTGTCCACTATTGGTTTATAGAAGTGATTTATGACTACTTGTGGCACTTATTAGTGTATATGTCTTATGACTTTTACAGTTTTAATTTTGGAATAATTAATAATTTTAGGTTACATTAGATATTTTAAAAATATTTTCGGTTTCCTTTGTAAAACTCAGTGAAATTTTAGCTGCCATTCTCTACCTTTTGAAACCGACTTTAATGGAGTCACATATAATTAAAACCACGTGTGCTTCCACATTTATATGAAGTTTTGTAGACATAAATAATTATCTGATGACCCTCTGATATAATTTAATGTGATTTTATTTTTTTTAAATCGATTTTATCTAGCAATATCAAAAGCTGGAGAATTACGACGAAAGAGAAGCTAAACTACGCTATGTTCAATTGTGCAGATCCTTACCGACTTATGGTATAACATTCTTTCTTATAAAAGTGAGTTTTGTATTTTCTGTGAGGAAGGTAACTTCTTTTATTGTTGTTACTATTCTGCTTTCTCGGTGGTTCGATGTTAGAATATTCTCAAACTACACTAGGAGTTTGGGTGCGAATCCTGCCCGGCGCGACACACTGCTAAGCTTCGTCTTGGAATCCGGAGAAATAGGGAAGGTTTGGCGAGTGGCTAAGTCACCTAACGCAGTAAAAGGAAGGTTAATGTTACTGAAATTTTCGAAGCTTGAAGCCCTATGTTCCACCTGGAATGCCAGGGATGAAAAAATCCTACGAAAGTGTATTTTGATTTTGATTGAAGCTCATAATAAATCTTCACGCCGATATTCCAAACTATTATTTATTATGTTTCAGTCTGAATTAGTGAAAAGCGTTATAGACCGAGATTTGGGTTGGATATATGTGTATATACATACGTTTATAAACGAGTTTCTACATTTGATTGGATCAACCGCTCAGTTTTTAAGTTTACCAGCGTGTGGATGTCACCTTGTCAATGGCTAAACATTTTAATATTAACAGCCAACGTACTAGTTTCTATTGTTTTATCCCGTTGTATTCAGTGAGAATTCATAAAATTTCAAATCTCATGTGTTTTCAGTTATTTTGTTCTAGACTGCGTTAAGTTACTCTTGAAGTCTGTGATTGATTGGTTTGAGCCACGTGGAGAAGTATAGTCTGTATGGCTAGGGTCGTCGAGACTCTAGGGACCAGTAAATGGAGATTGTTGGTGACACATGGCTCAACATCGTTGTCAGTGGCATAGACGCATTAACTCTTCGTGACATCCCAGATCCATTAAATCCTTATTATTCTCCATGTGCTTATTCTTTCGGTCCCACACTGTAGTTCCTTTGAATTTTTTTATTTTTCGCTACCTTTTTGTGCTACGTGGAGTGTGGCTCAACTTGAATTTGTGGCACTCTTATGCTGATTTCTATACTGAAAACTTAGTCAGTCAGTTAGTCAAGTTATGTAGACAATCTTTGGATGAAATAATCATTTAGGCTTGAAAGAATAATGTTCATTCATTCTAATACTGTTGCATTACGCGATTATTTAATCGAACTACTTTTTGCTCTTTCTGTCTTCTGAAAAAAAAATTCAGAGAAATACTTCTAAGTTAGATTTCATCATGAAATCCTGAAAACCAGGGAGTACTGGATGGTTGTTTCGACTTGGTTTGAGACTCTTCACTCAACCATGACCTTGACTTGTAATCTGAAGATCCTGGGTTCGCTCCCTATCGGAGTCATGGGTACGTGCTGATGAAGAATCCTTCACCAGGACGAAACATATGTTCAGTATCTCTTAATTTTTAACGGTTCTCTAGTTGATGTCATCTATTACATCTGATAATGTAATAGTAACAATAAAAGTACAACTTTTTCACTTATTTTATACGGTAGGATTAGTAGTTGTTTATTTCTGATGCGCAGTTTCAAACACAAAGTTTGTTACATGGAAGTTGTAAGCTTTTCGAAGCACAGGTATATTCACCCAGTTACTGTGGAGACTTTGTTTCACGTTGTTTCCAAATCTTGACACAACTGAAAAACCTGTCATCTTTTATGTATATGTATGAATAGTGTCACTGAATGAGAAACCAATGTGAACTATAATATTAGATATATGTATGGGTCTATAAGAAATGGACTGATAGTAAAATCAGTTAGGTAAAAAAATAACAGAAATAAACAAATAATAAATTATTCTGGCGGGAAAATCAGAAATTTGATCTTCAGCAAAATGAGAATTGGTTTGTGTAAATTGAATGACAAGGAAACAATCCTAGAAGTATTAACAGAAGTGTTTGAAAGTTACCTATCAGCAATAAAAAGGTAGAGATGATGAAATTAGATTAGAGACTTTTCAAGAATGATATTTTGTTGATGTACAAGTAATGCTTCAATAATATTTGTATTTTTATTGACTTTTGATTGCTTAAAATATCATACTGTTCTGTATAATCAATAGTATTGAAGCTGACCTTATTTACCTGAATTGCTAGCAATTAAACATTACTGTTGCCATACACCGTCGATTGACCTGAATGAAGGTTATGTTTATGATCGATTATTATTATTACTATTATTATTATCCTAAATTAAACAAATACATTTGCGAAGAAGAGTTTCGATAATTCGTTGAACTAACAAGGATAATATGAAATAGGTTATTATTACTATCATTCGCTTAGGTTCCAAGTGGTCTTCAACGGCACATCACCAGTTCATCTTGTTCTCTGGAGTCCTTTTAAACAGGCTCCACGATTTCCTATAAGCTTTTATCTATCCTTCACATGATCTCTTTATCAGCGTAGATCACCCAGTTAGGCGTTTCCCAATCGGGTTCTACTCGAGAGCCTGGCATGTGATGTCACTCAGCTATCTCTTTAGCATCTGTCCGATTCATCGTCATTCCCTGCTTCAAATTTGTTGAGCGAAAATGGTG